ATCAATCAATCAATCAATCAATCAATCAATCAATCAATCAATCAATCAATCAATCAATCAATCAATCAATCAAAAAATATTTATGTATATAGTACTTTACATCCCACAAGGCAACCAAAGGGCTGCACAGCAGAATAATAATAATACAATAAGATAAAGTCATGTAAGTGATCAAAGAAAAAGAAAAGACTGGCATACTACATGCACTCTCTGGAGTTAAAAGCCAACAACAATTTGACCAAGAGTAAGGCTATATGGTAATTTCAGAAAATGCTAAATGATTTGAATTTGTTGAACTAAAGTAGATGTTACATTTTGAGGGATTCATGTATCAGTTCATCTTTGGAACATGTCCTGACTTTGTTTTACCTAAACCATAGAAATAATCTGTATCACACACTTGTTTCTAAGCATTTCTGATCTTTTTGTGACTACATTGTTGTTTTAGGTTGGYGAGTTTAAGGCTCATGCAGCTGAGTGGAAGGCAAACGTACGAGCAGAGTTCCGTGAAACACGGCGACGTTTGAGTGTGGAGATCCACGACAAGCTCCAGCGGGCCGCAACCATCCGCAGCATGGAGCGACGTCAGCTGGGCATCGAGCAGCGAGCCCACTCACTTGACATGCTGTCACCAGAAAAACGAGCTATGTTCGCCAGCCTGGATGCTGGCCGATTCAAGACTTCCTCMCAGGAAAGCATTGACACTAAACTCAATAACCTGAGACTGAAAGGAGCCTGTGAGTCATATGACCAACAGGGCAGCGAGCAACAGCCACAGACAGCATCTTCCTCTGAGGAGAATCTCTTCAACCTACGCTTTGGGTCCCTCACTAAGCTGGCCAGGCGCAATAAGAACCGCGATCTGCGCCGAAACATTCCAGAAGATGCGCGGCATTCGAGCGTGGGCATCAGCAATGGCAGTGCCCTGCTGGGTGCAGAGAGGACGGAGGAAGAGGATGGGGAACCAGCAGAGGAAAACAAAGAGCAGAAAGAGGAAAACATCAGTCTGACAGATCTGTCACAGTATACAGCAGAGCGCAGCAAGCTGAATGGGTTCATGCCAACACAGGTCAAGGACAAAGAGAACAATTAGATGTCAAACGCATGAACATTTTCAGCTGCAAAGACTTCTTAGACTGAGTCACATGGAGAGTGCATAGTCCTTTTTGAGATGTCAAGAAATGTGCCTTTTCAGTTTCCTCCTATGCTTAGACTGGAACTGCTCCCAGGACATTCAGTCATTGTGCCATAGAATAAGGAAAAAAATACGTTGCCAAAAAATRAACAACACTGAATATACAGAAAAGCCTGTTGTTTGATTACCTCATTACATATGTTGCTGTAAAATGGGCTACCTGTGATGTATATTGAAGCTGTCACTTTCAGCTTTGTTGTCTCTCTGCCCTCGGGGCTCTTACTTGGGCGATGACCATCTGTTTGTGGTGGATCTTAATTTTTTTCACAATGTGGGCACGACAGCCAGCGAGCTGGACTCCTGTCATTTGTCTTCGGAGACGTTATTGATCATTTTGTCATCTCATACTGTGGTGGCTGTTTACAGCTCGTCAATGTCTGCTACTAAAGGACTTCAACATTTAATGACTGCAGGTTTGAAGGTTTTGTTCTGGCTGGATCAATAAACAACGCTAGTAGTTACCTAGAAGACATGTACAATTATTCCTACATTGTATGTGGCTTTGCATATGTAGCTTGACAGTAAAAATAAACAAAACAATTAATGCTTACTAAGATCTTGTGAAAAAAAAATATACAGAGTGCATGGTTTTTAAAAGAACAACCATAGCAATTAACTGACATTAGCTTAAAAAGTCACTGCTGTTTTAATGATCTTCTTAAAGAAAAGAGTAATGTTTGGCTTTCACTCTTAGTTTTTTGCTTATTCACAGTTCAAGAAAATGTGTACAAGTAATAAATAATTCTAACACTAGCATACAAACAATACTGGCATACTAAGGTCAGTGATATTAACATTTTTTTAACTTTTCATTCACGTCACAAACTGTTTATTTAAATCAATGAATGTGATGAAGTTGATTTTATACTCACTGAGCATGTTTATGTTTATGTTTACTTCTTTTTTCTATCAGACAATCACATGTGTTGTATGTTTTTTCCATTAAACTGTAAAATATAAACCAAGTAAGTCATGATGGTTTTGTGTTTCTTTTTGAAAATCCTTTATTAGGATAGTTATTAAAACAAATCATGGTTTCTACACAATCCGAAGTGTATTTTTAAGTAAAACATTGGCCATCATCAGGTCCTTGTACGACCGGTGTCAGAGTCTGGTTCGCATTGCTGGCAGTAAGTCGGGCTCGTTTCYGGTGAGAGTTGGACTCCGCCAAGGCTGCCCTTTGTCACCGATTCTGTTCATTACTTTCATGGACAGAATTTCTAGGCGCAGCCGAGGTGTTGAGGGGATCCGTTTTGGTGGCCTTAGGATCGCATCTCTGCTTTTTGTGGATGATGTGGTCCTGTTGGCTTCATCGGAATGTGATCTGCAGCTCTCGCTGGAGTGGTTCGTGGCCGAGTGCGAAGCGGCTGGGATGAGGCTCAGTGCCTCCAAATCCGAGGCCATGGTCTTGAGCCGGAAAAGGGCAGAGTGCCTTCTCCGGGTCAGGGGGTCGTCCTGCCTCAATTGGAGGAGTTTAAGTATCTGGGGATCTTGTTCACGAATGGGGGAAGAACGGAGCGGGAGATCGACAGGCAGATTGGCGCAGCGTCTGCTGTAAAGCGGGCACTGTACCGGTCCGTTGTGGTGAAGAGAGAGCTGAGTCAGAAAGCGAAGCTCTCGATTTACCGGTCGATCTACGTTCCTACCCTCATCTATGGTCATGAGCTTTGGGTCATGACCGAAAGAACGAGGTCCCGGATACAAGCGGTCGAAATGGGTTTCCTCCGCAAGGTGGCTGGGCTCTCCCTTAGAGATAGGGTGAGAAGCTTGGTCATCCGGGAGGGACTCAGAGTAGAGCCGCTGCTCCTCCACGTCGAGAGGAGCCAGTTGAGGTGGCTCGGGCATCTGGTAAGGATGCCTCCTGGACGCCTCCCTGGTGAGGTGTTCCGGGCACGTCCCACCGGGAGGAGGCCCCGAGGAAGACCCAGGACACGCTGGAGGGACTATGTCTCTCAGCTGGCCTGGGAATGCCTTGGAGTTCCCCCGGAGGAGCTGGAAGAAGTGRCTGGGGAGAGGGAGGTCTGGGCCTCCCTTCTGAAGCTACTGTCCCCGCGACCCGACCCCGGATAGGTGGAAGAAAATGGATGGATGGATGGCATTGGCCATCATATATTTTTTAAGTTACTTTCCTAAGCTGAGAAACTTTTTAYATMATTYTTTTCATAACACTTACTCATTTTAACATTTTGTGCATCCATAAGGCATTTTAGGTTCRTTTATTACCATAAGAGTATATTGGCAGATGATGTGATCCTGCTGGTCTCACTGTCCTGGGATCTCCATCTCTCAGTGGTGTGGTTTACAGCTGAGTGTGAAATGTTTGAGAAGAGGATCAGCACCTCCAAATCTGAGGTCATGGTCCTCAGCTGGAAAAGAGACAGCCRTCTCCAGATTTGAGGTAAAGTGCTGCCTTAAGTAGACTTTTAGCATTTCAAGGGTTCTAGAACAGGGGTGGGCAATCCTGGTCTTCGAGGGTTGCAGCCCTGCAYGTSTTTCTTGTTTCTCTGCTTCAACAYACCTGATTTGAATCAATTAGTGATTATCAGGTTTGTGCAGAATTTGCATGAGGTTATTCAATGACTTAATCAGGTATGATGAAGCAAGGAAAAAAAGTGAAACACGTAGGGCTGCGACCCTCGAGGACCAGTATTTCCCACCAGTGTTCTAGATAGAGCTTGAGATTGACAGATGGATCAACACAGCTTCTGCAGTATTGCAAATTCTGCATTGGTGTGGTGTGGTGAAGGAGCTGAGCTGTGAAGTGAAGCTTGATTTAGCTCCTCTCACAGTCACAGACTCTGGGTAGTGACTGGAGGAAAAAATATTGTACACAGGAAGTTGAAATGAGCTTTCTCCAGAGGATAGCTGGACTCTCCTAAAAGTTCAGTTTTCTGGGAGAGACTCMGAATAGAGCCAATGCTTCTCGACATCATGAAGAGCCAGTTGAGGCGGTTTAGGCATCTGGTAAGAAACCCCCCTGACTGCCTCACTAGGGGTGTGTTCTGTCCAACTGGGAGGAGACCCCTGGGAAGACCCTGACTCAGTTGGCCTGAGAACGCCTTGGAATCCTACCAGAGGAGCTTGAAGAGGTGGCTGTGGAAAGAGATCTCTGGCTCTCTCTGTTCAAGCTGCTGCCMCCGCAACCTGACTCCGGAACAAGTGGAAGATAATGAATGGATGGATGGACGGATGGAAAGTAAGAAYAGCTATATGAGTGTTAATGTGAATAGCTGATTGAAAACAATAYGATACGTTCCATTAAACTTGAAAAAATAAAATAACATACCTGCAGAATCCCAAAAAGTTGGTGTGAATAGGACACCTGAACGGACACCATCTGGACCTGCAGATTTCATCTTTCCAGCTCCCCCTCATCGAACTGCTGGAAACAGACATGCAGGAAGGAGAAACAGAGGAGGTCTCAGTGTGTTATGATGGTAAAGTTGAGTTATGATTCAAGACTGTGGTGCTGTGTGAGACTTTAGAGGTGTGACAGGAAGCTGTGGATCCAGGGAGGCTGTGGGGTGTGGATGTGAGACAGAGAAGAGCCTCAAACATGTTGTCTTGCGAAACACTTTCAGCTCCTTAATTATTTCGATTTTGTCCGTCTTGTCGCTTTTCTCCTTGAACCCTCTCTGATCTTTTCATAGAACAGACTCATTAAATTTTGTTCTTCTTTTTTAGTTTGTATGCGTCACGAACCAGCATTCTAGAGAAAAACATGCAAGTTGATTTAGCCTGTTTTGTTCTTTTCCACTTCAGTAAACACTACGGCCGCAGTACGTTGAACCAACTGCTGCATGTTCCGTTGATTACAGCTGCAAAAACGAGCGCAAGATGGAAGCCAAGACACCATGGAAGCTAGCTTTTTTCAGGTGCAGCTCTTTTGTCGTTTTCTTAAGAGGAAAAAATCTTTAGGAAAAACTCAGGGTTTGAAGAGTTAGTCATCTGCATAAGCTGCTTAATCAGCGAACGTGTTATTTGCTCTCTTACTTCAAAATAATTGGCCCAGCTAATCAAGCTTAGCCAACACAAAAATATCTATCACTGTAGTACATTTAAATTAGTAGAGATTTAAAATTTGATGCAAAAATAACTGACATTATGTGTCAGTGAGRACTCATAGCTATAATTACATCGTTTAGATCAGTATTTGTAAAACTGAATGAATGAATCTAATCCTGCTGAGGGGAAAAACATTCTTTGTTTGAAGATTCCTGTTCAGAATTCGGTCTGTGGTTCTGACAGAGGGCTGAATGAAAGGATTTATTTGTGTTTTTGGTGYGGCAACAATTTAAGTGGTCGGTATGTCGAGTGAAGATCCAGCCTCGAGGCGAAAGAAGCAGAAAGATGCTAAAGACACTAGATGCTAACAATGATTTATATTCAAGTACTGTAGTATACTACAAGAACTCAGACTGCTAAACTCTAAAATTGATTGCTGCATTAACAACATACATTTTGTTTTAGGCCTACTATTCTGTCTATTACAAAATATATAAATATTTGGGATTTATTGTGAATGAATATTTAACATTTGAAGAAGGAATAGAAGTCTAATCAAACTCAGTTGGTAGAGCACCATTGGCGCAGTTATAAATAAAGTTAATAAATATTGTTGTGACCAATGATGTATACTGAGTTCTACAGATCTTGTGTTTGCCYGGTATTAGATTACGGAGCAAGAGTCTGGGGTTACTGTCAACAACCTTACAGTGARAAAATTCAGTGCAGAGCCCTGCGTTATTTCTTAGATGTACATAAAAATACTCCTAAACTGGCCCTATATAGAGATATGAGATGGGAACCATGTGAGTTAGACATAATGGAGATATGGTGAGATTGTGGAACAGATTCATCAACATGTCAGATCATTTTTGGGGGTGTTTTTCAAATGGGTATGGCCAGACAAATTGAGAAAATATTTGAAGAGATGGATTTCCAGTATATTTATAGAAATAAGCTAAGAGGTAATATTGAAAAGATTAAACAGATTTATTTTGAAGCGTATAAATGTAAATGGGCAGTTGATATTTTACAAAAACCTAAATTAAGAACTTACATTCAGATAAAGGATGGGAATGGTCCTCAGCCATATGTAATAAGGATCTAAACATCAAAGGTCGATTTGAGCACAATTTAGATCTGGTTCAAATAAACTCTTCTCTATTTTTTATTTTTCACCAATTCTTTCTGCTGCTGATTCTGTACTTCTTAGTCATTGCAACCTTGAAAGACCTTCGAACAAATGTAGTTTTTAAAARCTGGCTAAGACATTTCACTGTAAAATGCCTTTGTAACGTTCTAATTTCATCAGTCCTTTGATGTATTCACTGTCTCCACTTTCAGAGAAAACCAAAATCGATAACAACCCAACAGAACCTCCATCCCGTTTAACTAAATTAAGACAGTGGGATGGTCCCAAAAGGGTTCTTGAATTTTGTAGCTTGAGCCTGCAGTTTTAGCCGCTTCGTTCAATAGCTGTGTCCTGCTCGACCTTAGAAACTAAAACCCTAATTGGCTGAGCCAGAAACCACCAGGTTGCTCAGGAAAAGGTAGAAGCTCGCTGAATGTGTTCTCAAATGTTTTTATTACAGTTCACACCATTATTCACAGGTWCTGCTTTGGTTTCTTGTTAGCACTTCTTCCTCCTCAGAGCTTCCTTTTACTTGTTTTTACCGTGGGATTTCACTAACAGGAACATAAATATCAGGATCTGCAGCCACTGGAAATTATAGCACTTCTAAAGCTCTCAAATAATTCCATTTTCACTAAAACAGCAACCAATAATCACTTATTTGTTGCTACAGACAGTGTTAGCACTGAAAATTAGGGGTACACGCTCCCGGAAAATATTTGGACAAGATCTACTCAAAACTATGCGTTTTCCAGCTATTTCAAGAACATTTTACTGATTTCTTTGGATTAATAAAACAACTTCAATTCAGTATTTTATGAAGGAAGA